CCATTGGGACCACCGATTGTAGTTGACCGCGGGACCACCGATTGTGGTTGACTGCCGGCCATGCCAGCGGTTTTCGACCTTACAATACAATGTACCCTGGCGTGCAGCAATCACCCAGACTGTGGTGTGCCCGAGCATGACCATGACCAAACGGTCCCGTTGTGTGAATCATGCCATGCCAGCGGCGTTCGACCTTACAATACAATGTACCATGGCGTGCAGCAATCACCCAGACTGTGGTGTGCCCGAGCATGACCATGACCAAACGGTCCCGTTGTGTGAAATATGCCTTGATATGCTATGTCCGCCTGCGCCATGGTCTGATGGTGGTCAGCGAGGTCGTTGGTCGGCTGTAAGTAGAATGAAACGTTTTCCCGTTAGATCCACCCGATCCAATCCGTGGTACCGTCCACCCCTCTATCTCTGATGTTGCTGTTGCTGAGGGCATGTTGTTTGAGACCGCCACCACACTGGCATGTCGTCAGACAAGTGACCACACACCAGACACGTAGGTTGGTCTTGCGGTGAGGTGAATGCCATGTTGGTGCACAGTGGAATGAAAGATCGCCCCGGATCGCGGATGAACGCGTAGGCGTAGGAGGAACATCTAATGCATGGCAGTTATTTGTGCGTGTCCAGTCGCACATGGTTTTTCCTGAAAAAATGCGTCCTTAGAGCGGGGTTGCGCCCTCAAAATTTAGGGGAGGGTAGCTTTCCTTCCCCGGGGCCAATGGAAGCATGCTATACCTCAAACTACGCATCGTTTGCTAAGGCAGGGGGTGGCACGAAAAGTCAGCATCGCCGAGACGACTGGCAACCGTTTGTTGACGTCGCACACATTTACAATACTCAAAAATGAGATTTACAGCAGTCGGGGACGTGTTGAAAGCTACCAGCACACCAGTTTGTACTTGGCCAACTAATGCACTGCATAGCCGGCAGCGGAANTAGGCGTAGGAGGAACATCTAATGCATGGCAGTTATTTGTGCGTGTCCAGTCGCACATGGTTTTTCCTGAAAAAATGCGTCCTTAGAGCGGGGTTGCGCCCTCAAAATTTAGGGGAGGGTAGCTTTCCTTCCCCGGGGCCAATGGAAGCATGCTATACCTCAAACTACGCATCGTTTGCTAAGGCAGGGGGTGGCACGAAAAGTCAGCATCGCCGAGACGACTGGCAACCGTTTGTTGACGTCGCACACATTTACAATACTCAAAAATGAGATTTACAGCAGTCGGGGACGTGTTGAAAGCTACCAGCACACCAGTTTGTACTTGGCCAACTAATGCACTGCATAGCCGGCAGCGGAAGGAGGAGGAAAGTCCGAATAGACATATATTTATCTCATTCTTGTGAAACAAAAAAAAAACGAGCGCATTCCAACGTTGCACCGAGCAACACGAGTACATATCACTGTCCCGGCGGAGACCAAAAGATACTTGGATGGCTTTTCATATATATCGCGAAGAGTTCCCGGAACCTCCCCCCGCGGCTTGGCTCTACGGCTCTGTTGAGTTCCATGCGAAGGTACTGCGTCTCACGGTATTCGCCACCCCTTCCCTTCGCGTACAAATACAGATAGCGCCCGCAGTTAAGAGAAAAATAAGTAATAAGGGCTAAGAAACGCCTCAACAAGAAACATGATGGTACGATACCCCCATGACATCAGAAATCTGCGGTGCTCCCGCCCCCCTCCGAAGCTAACAGAAGTGCATTTTTGTTCGTTGTTTCCGAAACTGCATTAATTGGTCGTACCCCCCCACGCTTGAACAGGGGGGGGAGAGAAGAGTGGAACTCGGGGATCTCAACCTATCCCCGTCCACACCACCATCAGTATACACCAGTCACCGCACCATCAGGCATACTCTCGAAGTCATGCCTGCCCCCTCTCACTTAGCGGCAGTTGATAGCAACAACTTCCAACTGCGCGTCCACTCCCCCGGGATGTAATGTGCCCCACACACTCTCTTCTCTCCAAATTGCACGCATGTTCCGATATACCAACCTCAATATACCGCACATATACCACCACCTCGATTGTGATGTACCGTGAAATACACCACTGCATGCCCATGTCTAGTCGCGCTACCTCGTCAAGCTCATCAACGGTCGCACACACGAGGTACCGCACGAACCCCCACGTTGGGTTCGCACCCGCCCCCCGTCCGCCGACCCACAGCTACAGCCGATTTGTCGATCATAACCTTACATCCAGTCACTACTGTGCCCTCGCCTCCTTCCGTGGCACAGCAACTTAGGCGCTCTCACCCGCACTGAGAGTACCACAAACATCTCTAACGCGACAGACACACCCGGGCAAGGAACCTCTACCCAAGAGACCCTCGCCCCATCAGCAGTATCGGCCAACGACCATACCTTCCTAGTTCACCACTACTGACGATCCGTCCTCGCCCTACCACTGACACCCCCAAAAGCAAAAGGGTGGATGGGGGGGGTGTACTCATAGTCGTGCATGCCGTAGTCGTTAGACCACGCGACGAAAACCCAACCCCGATGGCAAACACCGGACGAGGGGGGGGAAAGAAGGGTGGATGGGTGGGAAAGAAATAGATCTCCTCCGAAATACCTCTTGGTTGCAGCAGCCTCCCTCGTGCTCCCTTGGGGCAGACCAACAAGTGCCCCCAAGTCTGCTCTTCTAGTCAGGTTTCAGACACTTCACGCTGACTCCATGCTGCTGCTCTCTGATTGGCCAACAGATATTTCATCTTCCGCTCCTCACAAAACATAGATTTCAACGCCTCTGTCTCTGCAATCTTCTGCTTTGTTGCTTTCGAAAGTGCATTAATTGGTCGTACCCCCCCACGCTTGAACAGGGGGGGGAGAGAAGAGTGAAACTCGGGAATCTCCACCTATACCCGTCCACACGGTCGCCCCGGTGGTCTAGTGGGTAGCCTTGTAGCCTGCTAAGGGCCAGGTCATGGGTTCGAGTCCCGGCAGAGTGAGTGTTTTTTCTCAATCCTGGTCTAGGATGAAAGCGACGCGCTGCAAAGCTCGTTTGTTAGTAAACCACAATCGACTTCGTAAGTCGCGAGGGAAGGGATTGCTGTACCCTTCTCGCGATAAAAATACCTCAGGCAGGAACCGCAGGAGGGGGTCCAGCCCCCCCCTCCTATGTGATCGAAGTTGGGTCGTCTAGCTGGTAGAAGTGGAAGATAGGGGCCAGAGGGGCAAACGACAGAGTCCAATGATGGGAGAAAAACAAACAAAAAAACAACCACCATCAATCAGTATAAACCATTCACCGCACCATCAGGCATACTCTCGAAGTCATGCCTGCCCCCAACCTAACCGCGGACTGGTTTACAATACTGATCCTCTGTACTCTCTCTCCCCCCCTACCGTGGTTCCCACTATTATTCCGACCAATTTACACTCATCACACACACTCCACCCCCTCCTTTTACGGCTCGGCCTCACCAGCCTCTGGGACTACGTCACCCCACTCTGTACTCTGTCCCGGTTGCCTCACTGCATCATCCTCCGACGTCAAGGTACTAAAAACCCACTCTGCAACTTTTCCATGGTTCCTTACGTACGGTCGATACCCCGTTTCCCCAGTCCATCTCCCCTCTCGTCTCAGAACTTCTGGCGACGCTCCCCCCGCTGCCAAGTACGTGGTTCCCCCAATCCGAAGGGAATGCAACGCGTACTCTGACGACGGGAGACCCGCCAACGACACCACTTGCCACAGCGCTTCCGTCGCGTGACGACGAGTCCACACGGACCATCGCCCCTCCCCGGTTCCGAACGCGACTAACGGAGCAGACGAAGGGAGAACAGGGTAGCATGACAGGAGTTCAATCATCATATCGACTGCGCCCCCCCCACACTCCACAGACTGGGGAGGCCCCGGCCTCGCTCGCATACACACGGCACCCTTCCGAAACTGGTCGCCTATCGACGACCGAAACCGAACCTCGACTCTGTCGGCCTCTCCCCTCCGTTCAGGAGGCAACTGGTGAGAACCCACAAAGAACGCCACGTCCCCCCGACGCAACCCATGACAAGAATCCATGGCCATCGAGGACCCAGCGAACATTTCGCACGCCCGCATCACGAAAAAAAATGACGCACTCAACGCCAGAAACAACACGCGCCCACCCGTGCCCCACTGTGGCACCAGACGCCCCCCTTCCTTCAGCATCGACCACGACACCGGACGTCGCACGCGTTGCTGCGCACCAACACCCGCATGCCCTCGCGCCACCCCTTTGAGCGCCTGCTTGATCAAAGAATGGAATGTATCAACTTCCATCGCATACGACAAGCGGTGAAAAAATTTAACAGCAGACAAATGACCAGCTATCGTCGTCTGCCTCAAGCCCAACACTGTTAACGCGTATGCCACGTACTCCAACAATTGCGAAACAATATCCGGCGATGGAGACGACGGCATCATAAACGCCGGTCTTCCCACAACGTCCTCTCGAAACTTCACCCACGCTCCAAAAAATCCCAGGTAAGATAGTTTAGACGACGGCGCAAGTGCGTGCCGGACGAGCTCGAAGCCAGCACGGTGGAGCACAACTTGCGCTCCGTCGGGCCTAACTCCACGATCTGCCACGCCACATGAGGGGAGGCAGCGCACAGGTTATCATGAACATCGTTGGTATTCCAACGTGAGATACCATCAGCAAGCGAGTGGAGTATGCCGGGAACATGGGTCTCGTGGAAATGCCACCCGCTGGCTACCTCCAGCTCCCCCACTAGGCGCACCAGCGCCCCCGATCGAGGCTCAAGGCCCCCCCGACAACGCTCAATCCACGCCGTCGCTGCTTCGTTGTCTCCTCGAAGGCGCACACAATCACCCGCCTCCACAGGCTGGTGACTTCGGCCCAATACCAACACCCATGCCCCCATGACCATGCCAAGGAGCTCTAACACGTTGATGCTGACATCATGAACCCCCTGGACCGATTTGCTCGACCCCACAAAGCAAGCTTGCTCTTCCACAGACAGATCATATCGAAAGTAGTGGCCCGTTTGCAAACAATACCCTCCAATTTCTTGCTTAGACGCATCGGTGAACACGGAAAGTGCAGGCGGGCGTTCCAAAATGTTGTACATCGTTGCACACAAACTTCCGCCGCGCAACGAGAGACCACGCCCGTGGAACCACCGCCAAAAGTCGACCTCATCGTGGAATAATGGACCCAGCACTACACGTCTGTTCGGACTCGGCACTTGGGACACGAAAGTAGACGAAGCAGGCATCCCTACCGCAGATAAAAGGCGCCCCACAAACAACTTTTCTGGCCGCAACACGAACGAAACGTGCATGAGAAACCCTGTCAACTCGGCTACTTGACGAGCTGTAGCAACTCTCCGCGTCGCGGGCACGCAGCCAAAATTCGTTTGAGTTTCTGCTGTTTCGTGTCGGTCATAGTGGTCGTGAGTTGCTGAGAGTCCAATGTCCAACCCAACACATCCAGACGGGGAGAAAAATCGGTTATCTTTCCTTGCGACAACAACGGCGGGTCTGTTGGGCCTCTCTCTCCCAGCAGACGAAAGTGATCCCTAGCGAGAGAACGCACCGCGCGCGAACATCGGCGACCATCAGCGAAAAATCTCCCTTCAATCAACACGCCATCATCAACGTAGTATCGCACGAAAAACGGAGAACCAGCAAACGCCCCGTCGCCCACAATAGTCTGGCAATCAACAGGTAATGGCACCGCTGTACTTTCGTCTGGTGGGGACACTACTTGAACATGCTGCACAGCCGCAGCCCCGGCGGGAGAAACGGACGCGTCTTGAAATGTAGTGTGTGTGTGAGTGTCCCAAAGCGGACGAGAACAAGGACCAAAACCCTGGACTCGACCGCCATCCAAATTGACACCGTAGGTCAACAACCGCGTGATCTCCGATCGTATACCCAAAAAACGATGCCCGAGACGGATCCACGGGGATTTGCCGGAAGACTTCTTTCACATCAATGCGGCAGATCAGAATTTCCAACGACACCCCGTGTACTTGTCGCAAATACAGCACCCGCTTAAGAATGTCACTCAATACTTGACCCAAGAGGCATTCAGGTGCTTGATCAAAGTCCGTATCGTGATTTACGCTCGTACGGATGGGCACGCCGGAGGTGAAAGTGAGATCGTGAATAATTCTGAACTTCGGTTCGTCGATGACTCCCAACGGCGACACTCTAACACCTAAGATTTCTCGGATGAACCGAATATCGAAAATCAACGCACGCCCCAATGTCACGTCCGATACAACTTTGTCTGTGATCCGATCTCTGTGCAGTAACGCGCTAGGATGGTTGCCGTAAGCCACTTCAGCGTCCAGGCTCCCACCTGAGCCCACGTCAACCGGCGCACCCGGAGACAACGATCTCAGAAGTTGACCAACTCGGGGAAACTTTTTCACTTCTCCAAAATACGACTTGACGCGCATCACATCGACATGGGGCAGAAAGANAAGAATGTCACTCAATACTTGACCCAAGAGGCATTCAGGTGCTTGATCAAAGTCCGTATCGTGATTTACGCTCGTACGGATGGGCACGCCGGAGGTGAAAGTGAGATCGTGAATAATTCTGAACTTCGGTTCGTCGATGACTCCCAACGGCGACACTCTAACACCTAAGATTTCTCGGATGAACCGAATATCGAAAATCAACGCACGCCCCAATGTCACGTCCGATACAACTTTGTCTGTGATCCGATCTCTGTGCAGTAACGCGCTAGGATGGTTGCCGTAAGCCACTTCAGCGTCCAGGCTCCCACCTGAGCCCACGTCAACCGGCGCACCCGGAGACAACGATCTCAGAAGTTGACCAACTCGGGGAAACTTTTTCACTTCTCCAAAATACGACTTGACGCGCATCACATCGACATGGGGCAGAAAGAACTTCCGGTCAAAAGCGGCGACGAACCTTTCCACGCGTGCCCCACACCGTCGAAGCAAGTTTGAAGCCACATGCGCCACATGGTTAAGATGGGCGTACCGTTCTGCAGCTTCACACTCAGCCAACGCAGACACAGCCACTCGCCACTCTTCAACCTAACACGGCAAAACCTGTTCAAAACTTTGCCTCGTACCTGATTCCAAGTCGGAAGCCACTGCGGGCAGGCCCTCACAGCGCTCGCCTCGGATCCTCACGCCAGCCAAGGCGCGGGACGCCATCTCCCTATGACCTGGCTGCTGTTGCGGCCTCTCAGCTGGAACCGACACAGGAGTTGGCCCTGCCACCCGGCGGAGCCCACACCCCTATTTGCTGCCACCCCGCACCACCAAGGCCGACGACGACCCACCACCGCCGCCACCGTCAGCCTGTCCTCCTCCCCGGGCGACGCCACCCCCCTGACCACCAGCCGACGAGCGCCCCCCGCCACCGCGACTCCCGCCCCCACCACCACCACTTCCTGTACTTGACAAATCTCGGCGCTTGACGTGCTCAAACCTGCATTTGCCGCCGAAAGAGCACGTGTCAGAGTGGCGGAACTGGAAGCACTCCCTTGAGACGCGCTTCCGTGACGATGAATCACCCCGATCCAGTTGGCCCGCCTTACGCTTGCCGCTCCCGCCCCGCGACTCTCCTGTTCCGGGGAGGGATCCTCCGTCACTCAGGACCAGCCGGAATAGATTCACCCCCCGTTCACAGAAGTTGTTGATGTTGGGGAACTCGGGCACCGGCGGCAAGGTGTGGCCGTCGAACGCATCCGGCATATAATGCATCTTCGTGAAGGGGTACATCCAGGTGATGATCGCCGTTGTCCACAATTTGAAGTCCTCGTTCGGTAACCTTGGCAGTGCCGCCCGCTGGTACTCGTCCGGAAACACATCACTATTCCGCACGAGAGTAGTCCGAAACCTGGAGCGCGCGTCCGCCATGGCTGTGGCTATGGGTTCCAACCGCCGCAACGATTGCACACCCGCGGTCGTGGACGAATCTAGACCAAACTTCAACAGCCGCATCACCGCCTCACACATTACGTCGAAGTTGTCTGCAATAGACGACGTGCGGGCAACCCCCACGGCCCGGAAGCACTTGACGTCGAAAGACGAAAACGCACGCATCTGAGCGAGGACGTCGCCCGTGACGTAAACCTTGGCAGTGCCGCCCGCTGGTACTCGTCCGGAAACACATCACTATTTCGCACGAGAGTAGTCCGAAACCTGGAGCGCGCGCCCGCCATGGCTGTGGCTATGGCTTTCAACCGCCGCAACGATTGCACACCCGCGGTCGTGGACGAATCTAGACCAAACTTCAACAGCCGCATCACCGCCTCACACATTACGTCGAAGTTGTCTGCAATAGAC